AGCAAGCCAGACACAGCACACAACGAACCCTGTGTGTCCCAACTCACACAGAATCCAACACCATCTCCCTGGGCCTTTCATCCCAAGTCTCACAAAATTCAACAACAAGTTCCTCAGGTACGGTACCAAACCTGCCAAAACCTCACAAAACCTGCTGTTAGAGTATGGCAGGTTTTGGGCAGTTAGGGTTAAGGTAGTTTTGAAATTTACTGTCATTGCACTTAGAATTCCTCATTTTAAGGTATCACTTTTCTTTTTTCTTCCTCTCAGGTATTTGAAAAGCAGCCTGGATAGTAGCATCATTCGATCTCAAGACAGAGAGGATGTAGTCACAGCAGTTGCTGGAAATCCTGTTGGCTTGCCTCTTGCTTGGGACTTCTTTCGAGCAAACTGGGACTTCTTTCGAGAGGAGTAAGGATTTAAGCAAAGATCTCCATCAGTTTTGATTAGTATCAGGCTTACTATGTGCCCCACAAACAGGAACTAAATCCTTGGACTATTTGGCATTTCAGTTTCATGTACTGGTTGAAAACGGTCATCTACATGCACAGAGAATAGCTATACGTCACAGTGATGTAAGTACCACCTGTTCTTTACTACATTTCCTTTATTGTCTTTTCTCATGACAGGTATGGAGATACTGTCTTCCTTCTAGACTCACTTATAAGTGGGATAACATCCAATTTCAACACGGAATTCGAGCTTCAAATGGTTAGTTTAGTTGGAGAATTTTGTTGATAATAAATTACCTTACAAGGCTGTCTAATGGCTAGTTTACTGCTCATTTGGTTGACAGATGGCCTAGAATCAAGACACTACTTTATATTGAATTGCTAAATTAAAATTGAGCAACTAAATGTTTTTATCACTCTTTACCTGTGTCTTTTAGACTGTCTAACCAAATAAGGGAATTTTCGGCCCAGTACATGTAGTTGAATTTAACAAAGTGTTTCAAACATTGGTGCAAGCATCATTATGTCAGACATGCAAACCATGTTTTTAATCTGCTAATGTTTGAATACTATAGCTGAAGCAATTCATGGAGGATCATCCAGATCAAGGCACAGGAGCACGGGCATTTGCTGAAGCTGTAGCTGTTATTGAAGCTAATATAAGATGGGTGGAGCAATTTTACGATGAAGTAGAAGGCTGGTTGACAGAAACGGTGTAAGTTTGCAGTGATTGATTTGTTGGTAGTAATGTGTATCCTTCATTCTCAGCAACCTTCTTGATGGCAGCAATATAAAGTGGTGTGCTTCATTCAACTCACTCATCAAGTAATCTGTGCTTATTGATCTGTAATCTAGGATTATTGATTCTTATTGGGTTTGATTTTCATGCAGGAACACCCCTAAAGTGTGGGAGGAGATTCGTCTTCCCCTGTCTCTGATACCAGAGCATTACGACCTGACAATTAGAACAGACTTGACTGAGTTTGTCTTCAATGGAACAGTAGATATCCTCTTTGAATGTAAGGAGAAGACAAGTATTGTCCTGCTTCACAGCAAAAGTCTCAACTTCACTGAAGGAGTGACTGAAATAACACGAATCAACGATGGCCCAACACCAACTAGAACCAAGGAACCATGGATCTATGAGCCTCATGATTTTGTCGTTGTGGAGTTAAATTCCTATTTAACAGTTGGAGAAAAGTACAACCTACACATGGAATTTCAGGGGCCCCTGGAGGCTGATCTGCGAGGCTACTACCGGATGAGTTACACCACCAAAGCTGGAGAAGAAAAGTAATTTCTCAGTTATTTTCTTTAGTGTATGTCATTTGCTTTGAGAATATAACAGTTGGACAAATGCAGCACTCCTGAGGCCGTAAAAGCTAACTAACTATTTGCTTAAAAGGATAATGATATATATTATGGTGTTAGTTTCCAAAAGACGTTTTACAATCAGTTTGGTACTCTGCTAAAAACTCAGGTTCCTGGCAAGCACCTTCTTTGACCCAGTTGATGCCCGGAAGGCTTTCCCATGCTTTGATGAACCTGATCTAAAAGCTACCTTTAGTATCATCTTGGAACATCAGCCCCGATACCATGCTTTAGCCAACATGCCCAAGAGTCTTCCAGATAAGGTTCTGGAAGATGGCTGGGTCAGAGCAACTTTTGAGAAGAGTGTTATCATGTCAACATACCTTGTGTGCTACGTTGTCAGTGAGTTTGTATCCGTCAACATGACCACAGAACATGGTGTTAGCGTAAGTTTATCTGGCTTGTCACTAGCAGTTTAAGACTAAGTTTGAAAAACTGCACTCTCACGTTGTCTAGTTTGCATCTGTTTAATTTTACATAGTTTTGAATGGAATGTTATTTTCATGGGTCAGTCAGTAGCACTGTACTTTAGTTTATGTTAATCCTTTTTTCTGTATCTGTCTATTAGAGAGTTATAACTATGGTGCCCCACAAGTGTACTGTACTGTGCACATGTGCATAACTTAACTATCGGTAACACAGCACACACACGCGCATCATTACAATTAGCTTATATGTACACAATAGGCCAATATGTACATGTACAATACTAGACTGATTCCTAGTCATTTGTTCAGTGTGGTATGCCGTGGCGCTTGCTTTTCAGTTGCCTTGACACTTTGCTTTTGCCGTGGCGTTTTTCCTTTTGCCTTGGCCCATTTGCTTTTGCCGCGACCCTTTTGCTTATGCCGTGGGTAATTGCTTTTGCCTTGGTGCTTTTGCCGTGGTGCTTTTGCTTTTGCCGTGACAGTTGTGGGCCACTGTATATAATAACTGTGCTTTGAACAATGAATTGAAATGACACAACTGCTTACAAGACTGGCTTAGTTGTTGGAATGTTCTCTTTCCTCTCAGAATTTTAGTCAAGTTACATCTCAGGAAACATGAAGTACTTAATTACTCTTCATTGTATTTTGTTGGCAAAAATTTGTGCCATAGCTTAAAACTTTTTGTTGTCTTCTCAGTTTGCTGTCTGGACCCAGGAAGATTTCATTGATCAGGCAGATTATGCTCTTCAAGTTGGTGCCGATATTTTGGATCACTATGATCACCTTTATGGAATGGATATCAAGTACCCATTACCAAAAATGGGTAAGTAACAAAAATTGACTTTCCTTCATCCATCCAAAAACCACATATCTTGATGAGAAGATGACTTTCAGAGTTTCTTTGGTCAAAGTCTCCTTGTGATTCTGTTTGTTAAGTTACATGTAGCAGTTTGTGGTGGTGATTTTTTAATGAATTTTTCAGACATGATCGCCTTGCTAGACTTCACGGCTGGTGCTATGGAGAACTGGGGCCTGATTACCTATCGTGAAAGTGCCCTCTTGTACAAGGATGGAGTGTCATCAGAAAGTCAGAAGCAACGAGTTTGTACCATCGTTGCTCATGAGTTGGCGCATCAGGTATAGCAAGTGTGAATGGCAGAGCTAGTCTGTACCATTGTTGTTCATAAGTTGGCGCATCAGGTATAGCAAGTGTGAATGGCAGAGCTAGTCTGTACCATTGTTGTTCATAAGTTGTTTAATTTAGTAGTGAACTTTTTCCCAACGCTTTGTCCTCTGCAGTGGTTTGGAAACCTAGTCACCATGAAATGGTGGGACTACATCTGGTTGAATGAGGGATTTGCCAGCTATGTTGAATATGTTGGCACAGAGCAAGTAGAGCCAGACTTCGAAATTGTAAGTTGCCATTGGGAAGTCAACTTGTGATTTTGTAAAGTTTGTGTTGCATTTCGGTAGTATATTCTTGGATTGTTTTATCAAAATCAAGTTTGAGAGAATATTTCAAAGATGGATTTGTGCTGGGAGATGTAAATTAATTTTGGATTTTCCCTGCTCGACGTGTATTTAACACTGTATGCTCAGCAGTACCCGCTGCTACATTCGATTCGAACCAGCCAGCCGACACCAGCAAGCTCGGTGGTTGAGTGGTTAAGTCGTCTGCACTAGTAAGCAGGAGGTCGTGGGTTCAAGCTTCACCCGAGTACGCTTGTGTTTTTTTTCACAAGCTGTCGGGGGTACATTGAGTATTCAGTGTTAAATGCACATTGGGCAGGGCAAATCCAAAATTAATTAATTGGAGAGAATAGTTGAACTCTTTAAACTTGTTATTTGTTTTTGTTGCATTTTGGTAGTATGTTCATGGATTGTTTTATCAAAATCAAGTTTGAGAGCATAGTTGAACTCTTTAATTAAACTTGTGGATTGTCCCATTCAAAACTACAGTGGTCCTGACCATTGCCACTGTACCAATTGTATTTATCTCTAGTGTGGGATATGTTTAATGTATACATACCCAAATCTTTTCATTGGTATTCATACAGGAGGAGAGTCAAGTAGGCTAGTGCTTGTGTCCGATTCACTAGACCTGAAACAATCCAGACCTTTTCTTTTCCTTGTAGTGATGGTACAGTTTACTGCAAAACAATTTCAAACTACATTTATATGTATAAGCGACTTGTGATAAATTGATATTTTGGAAGAGAGCGTTAAATTGATTTGAACCTTTACCCTCAGATCACAAGTCGTATCTTTAACCACTGCATTAATCCCCAGTATATGGTCTGTCAGTTACTGTGAATTAAAAAAACTGTTATCTTCCCCAGTGGGACAAATTTGTAGTGTACGATCTGCAGAGGTCCATGGCAACTGATGCTCTCATAACTTCAAGACCAATTGTTATTCCAGTTTCTACACCATCAGAAATCAACTCCATGTTTGATACAATCTCTTACAATAAGGTAAGAATGAAACTCACATATCTCATTTTAGCAAATGTATCAGTGATTGAAGTACTGGTATATTAAGCCGAGTGTTTCTGGTCTTTGTTTCTTTCTCTCTAGGGTGCTTCCATTCTACGTATGATGAGATATTTCCTTGGTGAAAGCACATTCACAAAAGGACTTAAGGTAAAACCCAAGAATTATTCAAATCTCATCCTATCAACTTAGGAAAAAAGTGGAGTTTTGACTGTATTAAGTATTGCAGGAAAGAGCTACAATGGTCTGATGACTGTTTTACATTGCACGTTGTCTTACACCTTCCATTTTCTTTCAGTATTACCTGAAAGACAGGCAGAACAATACAGCAGAAAACAGTGATTTGTGGCGCAACTTGCAAAGGGTAAGGTAACAAGGGATAAACTAGGTACATTTAGTTGAGAATTGGAAGTGTTGAAAACTCAAATCTCTGTGATGTCAGGTCTTTTAGATTGGCGCTGGCCCTTTTCAAACATGGGATGAGTGTTCTACTTTATAATGCATTACATTTGTTTTGCATAATTAGTCCACTTAGAATAAATAATCAATGACTTAATCAATATGCAATGAAAATTTAAAGCGACTTGTTTTATTAATCCATAAAATCAAGGTTGTCTTGGGTCACTTTAAAAATGGTACCCTTGGATTTTTTTAACGAGCTGAAAGTATGGAATAGAAAACAACATTCACAGAAATATTTTGAAATAATTTCCGGGTGAGAATAATCTGCTGTTATAATTTTGTTCCTCATAAGCACTGATCTTCAATTGTTTATTGCCCTTACTTTGGTAGGCAGTAAAAGAGGACAATGTTGACTTTGGGTCTGGTCTTACTGTGGAAACCATCATGAGGACTTGGACACGACAGATGGGCTTTCCAACTGTTACTGTAACCAGATTATATGGTGGAGAAGCAAATAAGATTAAGGCTATGGCAACACAGAAAAGATTCCTGACAGATCCTGCATCTGATACTGGTTCATCTGCGTATCCAGACTTGGGGTAAGTTTCATCAATTTCCATCAAGTTCTATTCAACAATCTTCGCTCTTGCTGTACTATCTTGTAGCAATACATGAAATGTTATCTTTTACTGATTGTCAGGTTCCAACCAACTGTTGAATATTTCACAAAGCTTGAATATTATGACTCAACTTCCGCTGTAGCTTTGATTATCCCTGAATATAACTTTTGATGAATATTTTGTCAACAGATATAAATGGTATGTACCACTTACATATACCACAGGACAAAATCCAGATTTCGACACACCAAGCGCCATGTGGCTGTTGACTACAGAAAATGGTAAGATTGAACTTTACCAGTACATTGAAAAAAGTAGGAGGATGACCAAAAGGAAGGAATTAAGGTAAAGAGACAAAAATGAGTATTATACTTGTCAGTAGGCACATCCATGCTGTATACAGTAAAGTAATCATTGAGGTTTATACTGTCGGTATTTGTATGGGATTAGCAGAAAGGTTTTTTCATTCAAGTAGTTATCATTCTTCCTGATAAATGGGGTATAGATAGTTAAGTGCTGAAATGGCTGGTACTCTTTAGCCTTGCCATTGGTCAGTGCAATGACAGGTTACTATTCTAACAGTGCTGTGTAATGTTTGTTTTATGGACTAGCTAATATTGAAACGGCTGGTGATGATAGTGACTGGCTTTTAGTCAACACTAATGAGAGGGGATTCTACCGTGTTAACTATGATGAAACCAACTGGAAACTCCTGTCGCGACAACTGATGAATAATCACACGGTAAAGTGAAATCCTTTTCTTAGATAGCATCTTCTTTTGTGTTTAATTTTGTTTACAGACTGGTTTGTTCACTGTCACAAAGACATGCCTTTTTCTTATACAAATGAAATAACTTTCCAGATGATATCTACAACCAGTCGCTCAGCTCTCATTAGCGATGCCTTCAGCTTAGCAAGGGCAGGTGACCTAAGTCAGGCTAAGGCTCTGGATCTGACAAGTTACTTGAGAGAAGAGAGAGATTATGTTCCATGGTATACAGTAGATAGTGTCCTCGGATACATCTATGACAACCTGGCTCTTACAGCAGCCAATGCTTCATATGAGGTAGGTGTTAATAACCGGTTTTGCCCTTACATTGGCAAATGTTAACACTGTATATACTTAGTGTACAACTTACAGTGTCAGCACGTCTTGAAATGTGTGGTTAATGTGCCTTTGACAGTCCACATGCCATCAGGAGAAGTAGAGTTAAAAGTCATGTCACAGTATAGTTTCTGTAAATGGTATTAAAGATATTTTGAAAACAGAAAATAATGAAAATTATCCCGTCCCAGCATCATCAACATTCATAAATGCTCCCTGGTTCGATGTGGTTAAGTCATCCCACAATATCATTGCTGTAAACCATATAAAGTCGAACCAATCCTCATTTTAATGCAGTAGTGATAAACTTCATTAGCCTCTACAAATGGGTGTCTTCAGTCCACGCATTTGGTGATAAGTAAAGTCTTTTTTTTATTGGTACATGAGGTAGTGGAAGGTGTTTTCTGTTATGTGATACATGGCTGTTCCCATGTCGTTATATCATGCATGTTCCTGTGTTGTCTAAATGATCAAGTTGATCGTTTTTATTCCCTTCTATAGACTTACATGAGGGCACAAATTGAGCCAATGTATCAGTATGTTGGATGGGCCAACACTGGAAACCATCTCCAGAAGTGAGTGAGACACAATCATGTACCTCACAATTGAAACAAGTGATGATTTTGGAATGGTTCATTGGGTCTCCCTCAGTAGTCTGCAAAGTTCTGCTTTTATGTTAAAAACTGGTCCAAACTGTTTACACCATTACAGTTTTACAAATGACCATATTTGTTAATATCATGAAGGCAACATTTTATTTAATGATTATTGAATTTGAAGACAATAACTAGCAGCTTCATGGTGTAAGCCTTGTTTAGCTTCAGGTTAATATCCTTTAACCCTCCTATGCTTTGATGTATTCTTGACACAGTTGTCATATCAGTCAAAATCAGTCAAATTTCCCATACATGTCTGTGTACTGGGGGAAATCAATTGGAAGGCATTTTTGACTGTTTTTGACGGTTAAAACACCAGGAGGGTTAAGAGACATTAACCTTGACCCTGTAACTAATTTCCTTGTTTCAGATTAAGTCGTGCACGTGCCATTAACATGGCTTGTGGCTATGGGCTTGAAGACTGTAGGACAGAGGCTTCTACTCGATATGCAGACTGGATGACAGATATGATCACCAACAAGTAAGGAGTCTGTATCTTTTATCCGTGCTTCTGCCTCAATTTATCAATAAAAAGACCCAATTTTGTGGGACTTTGCAAATCTTTTCATGATGAATATTTGTATGAGTGGCTTTGGAGATTCAGTTTCAGAAATTTTGTTTGGTCTTCATGAATATTTGTCCAATGAAGAAGAGCTTTCTGAAGGTAGTTAAATATGGGGGAAAGTTCTTCACATCTAAAATGATCTAATCTAAAATGATCTAAATTTCAATTTTTTGTCCAATGAAAACGTATGTGTATTTAGAGTAAATGAGACACCAAATCTAAATGCATATTAACTCAAATGTGTAAAAGTTACACAAAAAGAGATGATTGGTGTATCATGTGACTCAGAATCACTTTATTTGCTACAGTAGGGTAGAAATGTAGAAGCTCACTTTAACTACAGTGTTTGGGAAGTAGTTTGCCTTTAACCTTTGACCTATGGTCACTGGATTTGCTACAGTAGGGTAGAAATGTAGAAGCTTGTTTTAACTACAGTGTTTGCAGGGGTAGTTTGCCTTTAACCTTTGACCTATGGTCACTGGATTTGCTACAGTAGGGTAGTTCTTGCTCACTTTCACTAAGCTATGTTCAACATTGGTAATTTTCCTTTACCTTGGGCTATGCTTTTGCCCTACTAGGGTAGAAGCTGATCTTCAGTACATCGTGTTCTGCACTGGCATTGCTGATGGTGGAGAAACTGAATGGCAGTTTGCCTTCGACCTTTACACTAACGGCAACACAGATACTTCACTTAAGTCCAACCTCCAATCTGCCATGGCTTGTAGCAAGGACATCAACATTCTTAGCAGGTTGGTCATTGAACTTGGTTTCTTTACAGTGAATAGCACCATTTACGAAGACTTCCAAACTGCAGAACTTTAAATAATGTTTTGTGTGTAAAGGTTGGCATGTTTTCAGTAGCTTTTAAGAAGCGTTCTGCAAGTCTGGACATCAACATTGTTTAAAAAATTGTGATGTTAATTTCAATAGATACCTTGCCGCCGTACTCAACACAAGCCAAATCCGTGAACAGGATGGGAAGGATGTAGTCGTAGCCGTTGCGTCTAATCCTGCTGGCACTAATCTGGCCTGGGATTTCTTTAGAAACAACTGGGCTTACTTCAGGAAGGCGTAAGTGAAAAATGCTACCCAGAGGGTTTTTCTGCTCATTTAACCTTCATATAGTAATACATTGTTTTTCAAAGATTTGTCATAGATTTAAAAAAAATCTTATGATTTTGTTTGGAGATGAAGAGTAAATAGGCCTCAGATTTGTAAACATTTGATAATCCTTTTGTTTTTGTTTAATACAATAATGATTTTTGTTCTTGTTTGATACAGGTATGGCAATACCGTTTTCTTATTCGATAGCCTCATTAAAGGAGTGACAACCCACTTTAATACCCTTGAAAGTCTTAAAGAGGTACAAGCCACTGTGAATGCAAATTTATTAGCAGTAGTATTAAACAATGTTACAGTTATAAAATAAGTATTACAGTTGTACTGGGTTTCCTCTAGCCAGTTTTTTCTTTTGTTTGTAATTTTGAGCCTGTTAAATGCAATTTCACTCTGAAACTTTTTAAAATTAACTCATTCACAAGTCAAAGTCTGAGGAATAGTAAGCACTTTTTCTGTATGTTTGCTGGAGAGAGAACACCGTAAACTAGTGGGATAATGCAGTAGGTTGAATCTTGGACTTAGAGACTACAAGTCTGTGGCTAAAGACCTGCATTGATCAACTTCACCCAAGTTTATTTATTGTAATAGGTTGAGCAGTTCATGGAAGCACATCCAGACCAAGGTACAGGGGCATGGGCATTCATTCAGTCGGTTGCTGAAATTAAAGCCAATATTAGATGGATGGAAGAAAACTTTGTAGAAGTTACAGAATGGCTAGACAATGCCAGGTACGTACAAACTTCTAAAGATTTAGTTGGTTTAGATACACTCATTGTAGACAGAATTTAGTTTTCTTCAAGAAACTTATCTTTGGAGCAAAGCAGTTTTTGTGTCCTTAAACTTACAATTAATTTGTCATTGTCGAGATATTTCAGGAGTGGTGCGGTTCTTTTAGACAATGATAAACAGTTTTTGTAGAGGCAGTCCAAATGATCTACATGTATACAGTACCTTCACAATTCGAGGTACGCTATGTAATTTGCTGCACTTGACCACCATTGAATTTTTTGGGTCATTTTATTTGATTGTATAGTTCAAAACAAGTACATGTAAACCATAATGGAGCCATATTTTGACGTTGGAGCTAGTGATTTTTCCACCGCCTGATACTAAATGGCCTCTGAAAAGGGGTTACCTTTGAAGATGAAATAGCTTATATGCATCGGGTATGTCAATACAGTTCAGTAAATTATTTTGTAACATTTGTTACAGCAAGGAACCGTGGGAGAGGATTCGCCTTCCAGATGCCATCTTGCCTATCTCATATGACCTCAAAGTCCGAACAGACCTGACCAATTTTGCCTTCAATGGCTCCGTGGATATTTTAATTGAGTGCTTTGAGAAGACAGACGTCATTCTTGTACACAATAGGAACTTAACAATCCCTGATGGTACAACTACCCTTACGCGGGAGGATGGTGGAACTGCCCCAGGATATAAGGTGGAACCCTGGTTGTATGCTGAGACTGAATTCATTGTGATTCAGTTAGATGCTTTACTGGAGGTTGGGGCCAAATATCGCCTGCATATTGAGTTTAATAATGCCTTACGTAATGACCTGGGAGGCTACTACTTGAGTAGCTACAACCCAAAGTCTGGAGGAACGAGGTGAGAATAAGATCCCTAATAATTGTAAAATGACCAAATTATTCATGTTGGTTGTCGAAATGAGTGAGACTGATGACGTGTACTGTCAGTACATGTATATGCTTTGGTTATATCTAAAATAATGAGAGTGACCAGTACTGTCGGTTGTCACCCTTGTATTTTATACGCATTTCATTATGTACACTGAGTGATTTCTACCAGAGAACAAAGATATTAAACGCAATGTTTACTATAGGAACCACACTTTTCTGGTTCTGGTTACAGTGGCAGGTGGTTAATATTTTGCGGTCAAGAGGTTGAAACACTTCATTCCTAAATTTATACAGGTATTTGGCAAGTACTTTCTTTGACCCAGTGGATGCCCGCAAGGCTTTTCCATGTTTTGATGAGCCTGACATGAAAGCCACCTTCAACATAACCTTGGAGTATGAGCCCCAGTACCATGCCTTAGCCAACATGCCTATGAAAGGATCACCAGAGACACTTGATGGTGGATGGATGCGAGCAACTTTTGAAGAGAGTGTCATCATGTCAACATATCTTGTCTGCTACATAGTTAGTGATTTCAAAGCAAAGTTTATGACCACACAAAATGATGTTGAGGTAAGCATATTTCCAACTTAAATAAAACTCATCATGAAGTCCCGATGGAGTCCTGTTAAAGATGTATAATTAGATAAAGCGTCAAACTTAGACAACAAACTATTAAATTCATTGAACATTCAGAGTACGAATGCGCAAATGTTTTATTAGAATATTGCGAGTTCTCCCTAGGAAATGTTCTGTCCATCTGAAAGAGTTTTGGAACCCTGGCTAGTCTCATTGGAACTTTTCCAGGAAACTCAGGAAACACAACCTACATCAACTAACCCCATTGGAAAGAGTTTTGGAACCTTAGCCTCTCTTATTGGAACTTTACCTGGAAACTCAGGAAGCACAACCTACACCAGCTAACCCCATTGGATAGAGCTTTGGAACCCATTTACTTGACTTTCTTTATGTATTCCAATGATGTTTTTGGCTTTATTAACACATGATTTTTAAAAATCATTTTCTGTTGAATCAGTTTGGTGTTTGGGCCCAAGAGGATTTCATCAACCAAACAGACTATGCTTTACAGAGGGGAGTGGAAATTCTTGACTACTTTGATGGGTTGTATGGATTAGAAATCAAGTACCCCTTGACTAAATTGGGTAATTAAAATTCACTTTTCTCTAGTGATCTTGGTTAATACCTTTTCCCCTACACAAAAAAGCTAAATTACTGGAATATTACTGGTCTTCAGATTATCAGTTTTGAGAGTGGAAGCACACCATTGAGGTGGAAGTCAAAGAACTCTTTAAGCCTAACACATAGCAGCTTTATTTAGAAATGTATTCCGTGCTGTTATTTTCTCATCAGATATGATTGCTCTGCCAGACTTCAGCGCTGGTGCAATGGAGAATTGGGGTCTAATAACTTACCGTGAAGCTCGACTCTTGTATGAAGAGGGAGTGTCGTCTGAAAGTCGAAAGCAGAGTGTCTGTACTGTCATTGCTCATGAGTTAGCTCATCAGGCGAGTCCTTTGTATTCATCATTGAAAGTTTGAAATATTCATGTTTTTCATCAAGATTGTGTACATTTTGCTCTGTTAAGTGGGTAGGTAGAAGAAACTCACAACCCTCACAACAAGGAAGCCATGCCGATCATGTTCTCCTTAATCTATTTCATGTAATCTGTCAAATTGGGTGGTGTCACATATTGTGGGTTCCATGGCTCACTTTCATGTTTTTTATGTGACTTTTAATATGTTAGATATTTTGTAATAAATCTTAATTTTAAAATTTGTTCCATCAATGAAGTTAATCTGTAATGAACTTTTGTTTGATTGTTCTCTTTTTTATTGGTGAGGTTCCAAATTAAAAGAAACTTTCAATTGAATGTATGGCCTACTTTGATATGAATGAGATCATTTGATTGTCCAAATGCTGTAAAACAAGCCGTTGGTGTCTTAAGCTTTTTGCATAGCAGGGGCATGGTCTAATGATAAGTACTTTGATTTTGTTGTGTTTAATTGCAGTGGTTTGGTAATCTTGTGACAACAAAATGGTGGGATTACTTGTGGTTGAATGAAGGCTTTGCAAGCTGGGTGGAATATATTGGTACACACCAAGTTGAGGGAGATGACTGGGCAATGGTAAGGATTGATAACTGCTTTAATACATGTATACCCCCAGATCTACACGTATGCACTGTGATATTTTCATTCTAAAAAGACCTGTGTTTTCAGCATTGCATTTTTTACATGCAGGGTATTGATGTCACCAGTTCTGTAAAACATTTTCATTCAAAATTTCATAGTTATAGATGGTGTACAAACTGAAACCAAGAAACTTAAAGATAATTTCTCTTTGTCTTTGTACAGTGGGACAAGTTTGTGATTTATGACCTGAATCGAGCAATGGGTGTCGATGCTTTGACTACCTCACGACCAATTGTTGCTAAAACGTTGACAACGTCAGAAATCAATGAAATGTTTGACACTATAACATACAACAAGGTAGGTATTGTCATTTTTTAGTCTTAAGTTTTACCGAAAAGCTCACCAGCTTGTGACACTAGGACATTTCCTTGCAAAGATATCTAACAATCAAGTGTCATTATTCAGACTTTGCCCTTTTTCTGTTTTTGTGGAATCATTGACAAGTGTTTGATTGACTTAAACTTACAAATTCAAGGTTTTCTGTACTGGAGCCCAAATCCCAAAGCTGGAGTCTGATCCAAAACTGAAAATCAAACTAATTTAAAAAGGGAGAATCAAGCTTGTGATAGTGTCCCAGTGTTAAAACAAAATGGATTTCCTTTATTTTTTTTACTGGTTTCTGTAAACAGAAATGGAATGGAGGTAAAGTTTTGTACTCTTGAGGCATGGTTTCCATTGAGCACAAACCCAAAAGGACATGGCTTCTCACTCATAGATGTAGAATTAACTCCAGGGCTGTTCATGTTAGAAATCGTCAAGTATGTGGCATCGCTTTGTTTAAATTTCATTGGAAGGTACCTTTGTGTCTGGAATGGCCAATCAC